AAAAAAATCAAACTAAGACAGCGACATCTGGTGGATGTTGAGTCTCTCTACCAGGAAGATAGTATTCCTATGCACTGCCAGTCACCACTGGTCTCACCGTTACTAATTACACCAGCAAAACCCAAGCTTTCATTAGGGTTCAGGGTCCTCACCTCTTGGTATCCATATTCTGAATTCATCTGCCCTCTGAAGGATGTGTGCAAAATCTGAAACCACCATTCTTCCTTTACAGGTTACTTATTCTGCAAAATGCTCAGATCTGGATATATGGAACCAACTTGCTTTGTATTGCAGCAACAAGAACCACTTTTGCATTAAAAATAATCTAACACGTGCTCTTCCCCCAAGGAAGTGGCTATGAATGCTGAAGTGGCTATGAATGACAACTCCACTGACCATTAGGACCGTAGGAACAGGAGATACCTAGTCACTGAACACTTTGTCTCACTAGATCCACCTAAAGTGATGCTTACCTTTTCTTTCCTGTGGAGAAGGATTCTATTATCATGAAACTGCTTCTTTTTTTTTTTTTTACTCTGCTTGAAATTATATCTTGTCTGGAGACATGGCTCAAAGGATAAGAGTGCTGCCATTGCAAGGGATAAGAGTTCCACTCAACTTCAACACCCACTCACGTGCACATACACACACATATAAGTAAAAAACTAAAAATAGGGCTGGAGAGATGGCTCAGAGGTTAAGAGCACTGTCTGCTCTTCCAGAGGCCCTGAGTTCAATTCCCAGCAACCACATGGTGGCTCAGAACCATCTACAATGAGATCTGGTGCCCTCTTCTGACATGCAGGTGTGCATGCAGGCAGAACACTGTATACATGATAAGTAAACAGTTTTTTAAAAATAAAGTTTTTGATTAGAATTATATGGAACAATTTTATATAATGTTTTTAATATGTAAATTGTATTGTTATATATAATAAAGTATGGTTTTAAGGGGAAAAGTAAAATACCAATCTATGATCATAAAAATCAAGTTCCAGCAGGCATGGTGGTGCACGACTTTAATCACAGCACTCACGGAGGCAGAGGCAGGCAAATCACTGAGTTTGAGACCAGCCTAGTTTACAAAGCAAGTCCATGACAGCCAAGGCTACACAGAGAAACTCTGTCTCTAAAAACAAACAAAATATAAAAAATAAAGTTAATTTAAGTTGTCTTAAGTTGCTTATTTTCTTTTTTAAATACATACATGCTTTGCCTGCATGTGTCTGTTCACTACATACATTTCTGATTCCACAGAGGTCAGAAGAGAGTATCAGATCCCCTGGAACTGGACTTAAAGGCAGTGGTGAGTGCTGGGACTCAAACCTACGTCCTCTGCAAAAGTAGTCAGTGCTCTTAAATACTGAGCCATCTCTCCCTGCCACAAGTTGCTTGTTTTCCATGTGAGTGGTGGAGAGATTCAGAAGTCCAATGAAAACGGACTGTGAAAGGTCAAGATCATATAGCAAATCTGGGCAAGGCAGTGCATTCTTGTAATCCCGGATTTCCAAAGGCTGAGGCAGGAGAACCGCCTCACAGTAAGCACACAATGATTTCAGTGTTAGACGAGGAGACACAGCAAAACTCTGCTCAAAAATCCAACGAAGCAGGGGCTAGAGAGCTGGCTCAGCAGTTAAAAGCCCTGGCTGCTCTTGCAGAGGACCCAGGGTTGATTCCCAGCACCCGCACGCCAGCTCTCAACTCTCTGTAACTTCAGTCTCAAGGAATTTCACACCCTCCTCTAGCCTCTGTCAGCACCAGGCATGTGGTGCACAAACACACGTAGAGACAAAACACCCATACTCATAAGATAAAATAACAAAACTAAAAGACAAATACACATATCACAAGTTAACAATATCAGCGTTTGCATGTAATAGGATCCAATGGAAAACATTTGCACAGATAAAAAGAGCAGAAGAATATTGCCTAGTATTCAGTTTGCTTTTGTATCGGGACTTATAGGTTAGTTTTTTTGTTTTGCTTTTTGAGTTTTATTTTGTTTGTTTTTATAAACAGGTTTTTGTGTTTAGTCCTGGCTGTCTCAGAGATCTACCCACCTATGCCTCCCAAGTGCTGAAATTATAGGCATGTGTCACTACTGCTGTCTAGTTTTTTTATTTCTTTAGTCACAATTTGCAATGTTTCTATTTGCAAATGTTCTGTGATTAACATTATTTTTGAACAAACTTCACTGAGCTTCTTAAAATAATGCATGTATTCTGACTAGAGTTTTCCAACTTCTGCCTGGTCTTACTAATTCCACGGGGGTGGGGGGAAGTAATGAATTGATGCTCAAATGAGCTAGAAAGGCAATATCTTGTTCCAGGCTCTACGTCCTGGTGGCACAACCTCCCAGACAAAACGCAGACATTCCTGCAAGATCACCATACTGACAGCAACTTACAGAGGGCGCTCCAGGCACGGAGGAGCTGCAGACTCTCCTAACCACTTGAGTCCCCATCTTCAGGTTCCCTAGAAGAGCCGACTCAGGGCCACCTTAAGATAGGAAAAGGAGATACGTTAAAATACATAGGAGGAGAAGAAAATTCAAAAGGTGAAATTACCTAGGAGGCATCAGGTCGCTCCCTTTAATCCATCGACTTAGGTCATCTTGAAGTGTCAGGTGTTGGACCCTGACGAGCAGCTAAGATATTATAATTGCAACATGGTCATCTGCACTACATTTTCCTTTATTTATGTGTCTGTGTTAGAGGCAGGGATGGAGATGGTGACGGCAGAGGCCAGAAGAGGGATAGATCTCCCAGAGCTGGATTACTGGAGGTTGTGAGCCACTGGACTTGGCTGTAGGGAACCAAACTCAGGTCCTCTGGAAGAGCAGTATCTACTCTTGGCAGCTGAGCCATCTCTCTAGTTCTTCAGCGACACTTTAAAACAATTTTAACTTAGGTTTTTATAAAAATAAGAAGGACGCTTTTTTATACCCCCTTCCCAATCTTTCCCACACTTGTCAAAAACAAAGCAAACAAACAAAAACACGGGATACATTTAGAAAACCAGAAGAAATACCAGATACACATTAAATTGTTCAAAAACTTCTTAAACTTATATTTGCTTTTATTCTCAGGAACTTTTAACCCCCACAGGAAGCCTAACACTGAAGTAGGGGGTGGAAGGTTGAGAAAGGGTCCCGTGAAACCCAGGCTGACTTCCAATTTTCTATGTCTAGAAAATGACTTTGAACCCCTGATCATCCCGCCTCCACTTTCCCAGTGATGAGATCACAGGTACACATGTCACACTGGTTCAGCATTTATAATTCTAAAGCAGAATTTGTCCGCCGGATTTTATGTTTACATAATGTTGCCTACAGCATTTTATTGACCCTCATAGTTAAGAACCTTTGGAAAGGGTTATTTTGTTTACCCCTAATTAACACATAGAAAATAAGCGATGGAGTTGCTCTGACAATTTGCAATAAGGGCAGCCCTCTAGACCCCACTCTTCTAAACCCACTTGTACTACCCCGGTCGGTGTCAGAGAAAAAGCCTAGCAATTGCTGTAACGGTGGTGATGGTGTTTGTGGTGGTGATGAAGACGACTGAATTTTATGTGATACAACCGTTGTAAATTTGCATTGACTCTCTAAAGGTTGATACTATTAACACTAACGTCTGTGGTGTGTTGTAATTCCCTTGTCAGAACTCTACGCATCTTCAGGAATCATCCTCTTAAACAACGGGTATATTTGGGGAGAACAGTACGATGAGTCAAGAAAAGGAAGTGAGTTACAACTCATCTCCCACCTCTAAAGTCTGAAGCAGGAACTGCACACTAAGACTTTACAGGGTTCAAGGAGAGCAGAGATCTCAAAACTTCTGCGTTTTCCCCTCGGCACCCTCGTCTCCTCTGCATGTCCCTACTTCCGATGCTCAACAGGTGCTAAAACTATTTCTCAGCTACTCACCACTTTTCGCCACCTACCTCATAAAGTATGGGCCCGTTTGGTTCAGCATTTCCCGGGCTGGCGGGCACTTCCACAGAGCTGCGCGTTCCTGCTGCCATGGCGACAGGCAAGCTTGAGTCGGTCGGGCTTGCTTTCCCTGGACAAGAGCCAGCCAGTGCAAGCCCGTGGCCTGCCTCCTGCCTTGCAGGCCCCGCCTCCAGCCGACCAAGAACCCGCCCTTACCACGCTGATGCCGCCTTCTAGCGTCCTGACCATCACCCCTGCCAGGCCCCTCGCTTGGCCAGGCATCTTCAAGTTCCCACCCCGCTCCTTTGGTCCCGCCCACTGCCCGCCTTCAGCCAATGGGAGCTTGCCCTCCGTTCACCTTCCCACCATCCAACCGCTGACCAGAAGAACCCTTCTGTGATGTCGGCTGGTACAAAACTCAGCCCCAGGAACAATCACGAGCCTGTTCTTCATACCATTTATTTATTGATTCTAACGGTTCCTCAGACGAGAGCTAACAGTCCTGCAAGGAGTCTCTCCAAGATATCCTCCTCGGGCTGTTAGAGTCTGCAGCTTGAAGTCCTTGCGGCCCGTGGTTGGAGGTTTTTGAGTCAGTTGCTGTTTCCATCTCTGTGATAAGGTCTGCAGCTCTGGACCCAGCTATTAGGTTACTTGCCCACAGCAATGCTGGGGCTGTGGGCAAAGGCTCAGAAAGCTTTTCTAGAGCGTTTCCTCTTCGGCTTTGGAGTAAAGGTGTGTAAAGTGGATAAAATTAGCTGAGCATAGTGGCCACCTGTCTGTAACCGCAGCTCTGGTGATGGGAGGCTGGGATACATCATTTCAAGGCCATCCTCAGCTGCTGCGTAGCAAGTTCCAGGCCAGTCTGGGCGACAAGAGACCCTGTCTCCCTCCCACCCCGCAAAAAAACAGCAAAAACACA